GGTAAGTGTTTTACGGCACTTGCAACACGACAAGGTCATATAAGTGCTGAAGATTAAAGGTGTTACCAGAGAGCGACAAACACGAAATAGAAGGAGGGGAGACAAGGACGACATATGTTTGATAGGAAAGCAGAAGCAGACCACACCAGAGCACCCGCCTACCACCCACATGTATGGTGGGTGCAGTATGCTTGCTCCCTTATTCCTATCAGACATGTATCATTTTGACCGCTCCTCTTTTATTATATTTTCGGGAGTAACTGTCTCGTAACACCTCTAATCTCAGACGTGGAAGACCATTTTGTGTTGCAAGTGCCGAAAAACCTTTTAATTATATTATTAAACCAAATCGTGATTAGCTAAGTTTGTCGTAGTGTGCCATATAAACTCTAAACCTACCCCCCGGAGCGGTGCCACTTACGGAAGTGTCTTCAGGCCATTCCCAGAGGGGGACATTCCTTGTTCTAATGCACAGTAGAATTGTAAATGGGCTGATTCAGCAATATCATGCTCTTAACTGTGCCTGAACTGCAACAGGGAACTGCTGCTTTTTCTGTCCTAATCCTTACTATCGTCACTTTTCCTCGACTTTCTTTGTATGTTTGTCAAACTCTTGTGACCCGCTGTTTCTGAGGTGCCTTGGTAGCCGAAGCAGACTTTGTACTGTTGATGCTAGAGCGGTGAGAAGAGCAAGCATGATTTTCTGTAAGGACTTCTCTGTTGAAATCCACCCCTTGGTGCTGATATAACCTTATGCAGTCGAGAGCGCCGTAAAACCTGTACTAAAATTATTCTAAAAGAACTGTAAGCCACGACTCTGCCACACTAACCGTTAATGGTTGGTGGGTTTCTGGAGTGGTTTGCTCCTTCTTTCCTATCAAACGTCTATCGTCCTGATCTCTCAGGATCTCTCTTGTGTTTGTTACTCCCTTCTAACACCTTTAATCTTCGGCACTTTTATGACCTTATTATGTTGCTAGTGCCGTAAAACTCTTACTAAAACTAACTAACCGTTAATGTACATTTGCCTGTTTTGTCTTTGAACTCATTTTTTCCCTTTGTTTCTCCTTTTTCACAGGACCCTCAAGGTTCAATGTCGCTGGGTCTAAGAATGGAAGAGATCATTTTCAACTTGGCCGACACCCATTTGTTCTTCAACGACTTGGAGGTAAGCTGTCATCAGTGTTCAGTTCAGTGTGCGAGTGATGTTCTGAGAGAGAGAGAGAGAGAGAGAGAGAG